AGAGATTGTATCGTGTGAATGCCACACCCATAGTTGACGATTTTCAACGGCTTTACAGAGGCTGCACTATCTCAAGGGACTCCCATGTAGTAGTGCTAACAGCTGGTCATAACCCATGGGGACAATGAAAGGCAGTTACGGACAGTTTCGGCTTGATATAATCATCTCTTTGCGCAATAGAAGTAAATTAAATATGGTCCAAACACTCCTTACATGCCATTACCGTCACGGTGATCTCGTACAACCTCCACTTCCGCTGTTTTTGAAAGGCCTCAAGGTAGGCGGATTTTCTCGTTTCCTTCGCCACCGATGTACTCCCCTACATCAACACTTTTACTTTCCAACCTGAAAAGGCATCTCAAAGTTATCGTGAACTCTGCCTTTAAGTAAAGTTTGAAATAAATAAACAATTTTGTAAGTAGTAAGAGTAAGTACCACTTAAATGCAGCGATTGCGGCGGTCATCCCGCAAACAGTTGCCTAACGTCCACCTGATTGATCAGTGGAAAGAATGGAGTCACCAATCGGGCAGGTCCTTTTGAGGCCTGGTTCTGTACTTAATTTCTCATTAGTACTTCCTAAGCACTTTCCTCTGTCATCCTTATTAGATTAGATCACCAGGAAGGAAACAAATGAGGAAATGGGGATCAAGTGATGAGTGCTAAGGAAGAAAGTAGAAGAGCAATCGGGAGGCGTTCCCAAATGCCATCATACCTCAGTAACAGCATAAATAACAACCTCATCGAAAGCCACAGCAGAGAATGGCTGAGAAAAAGTGACGACTTCATCACGAAGAACAACGAATCTCGCGGGAATGACTGACTACGAAAGAAGAGTCCTTTTGAGAACAATATTTCTCGATGATTACCACGATAGTTCATTGCACAGTTGCAGTAGCATGGATTAAGGATGTACTTTCCTTGCCCGTCAATATTTTATCCTGAGTTTTCTATGCAAAGTAGCATACCACTGGGGTGGTGCCAAATGGCCGTGCTACCATACGATGGGATCGGGGAGAGAAAACAAAGGGAAAATCGAGTTGTTATAATCAAATGAACACAACAAA